TTTTTTTTTTTAATGGGGTTGCACACAAACGCAAAGCAGACGTTGATGCATTGCCAAATATGCTTCCAAACCAACTTCCTTCCAAGCCAATGACTAGAAAATGATCACTAACTACTCCTGAAATGTTGGAGGTTTTAGCTCTTCATACAGTAAAGTTACAGGAGAAAAAATGTTCTTTGTTTGTTAAAATAATCCCGTCCGGTACCTCGTGAGAACAATAAATATATAATTTTCAGTTGTAACCCTCAAACTGAATGGTAATGTAATCCACTCATTTTTTGCTTCATCACAAAACTCAAACATTACTACTTCCACGTCTAATCGTTTGTAATGGAGGCAGAGCAAACTGGATCCGCAGTCCGTGCCTGATAGGTTTCTAGCTTAAACCTATTCGCTGGAACGTTCAAGAGAATATACTACACAGCAAAAGCAAGACACGAGTAGGCAAAGTTCTTTGTGTTACCTGCCTGGAGCCAAGTGTCGTTCCACCGACTTGACTTCCGTCAGACTCTCAGCCAGTTTCCCAATAGCACTCCTTTTATTGTGGTTGCATGAATATGCATAGGTTCATTAACATATGACATTTCATATAGGTATACATGTGGACAAAGAATACCTTGTGTGTGTGGGGGGGGGTCAAGATGTGACTCCGTGAAGACTCCCCAATGCTGGTGCCAGGAGTCTGGCGGTCCATCTAAACAAAAGGCTCTTATACTTAACCAGATACAGAGTAGGTGTCCTTCTATACCATAAATCAGTAAGAGCAGATATGACCTCTCTCCTGACCTTAAGTTGTATGTGCATGCCAGAGTGCTCTGGGAGGCGCACGGAACGATCAAACCTCTACCAACATGACATTGATTATGAGTAGATACTTCTAAGCATAAATGACAATCAACAATACAAATCTAACAGTGCCCAGTGAATGCTCACAATGCAGGGGGCACAAATTTAGTTGGTGATACCTACCTTGTCACAGGATCAGTGCTGTGCCAATTTGGTGCAATCATGGACAAACAGTATCCCACAGTTGTTTGTGTTTTTAAACCCATCTTGCACAGAGACAATTTTTGAAAAATGTATTGATAGCAGTGTTGAATATTCTTACACGGTGTAAAAAAAAAAAAAAAAAAAAAAAAAATTTTTTTTTTTTTTTTTTTTTTGTAGGTTTTGTTGTTCCATAACTGCGTGTCACTTTTTTGATTCTTTGTCATCATAGGCAAAAGAAGGAAAAGCAAGCCAAAACCTCTGCACACCGATGACCTAAAAATAACCCACCCAAGGCCAACAAGTACAGATAAACCAGTTGTGATCCCTGTGGAAAAGACTTTTACTACTATGAAGCAAGCCAGAAGACACCAGCGCACCGATAGTGGGGACAGAAGCTTTAGATGTGATCGTTGTGGAAAGTCTTTTACTCATAATAGCAGCTTAAAAAGACATCAGCTCATCCATGCTGAAGTTAAACCCTTTAGCTGTGATCGGTGTGGAAAGTCTTTTTCTCAGCATCACAGTTTAAAAAAACATCAGCTCATCCACACTGGATTTAAACCATTCAGCTGTGAACAGTGTGGAAAGTCTTTCACTTCCAAAAGTAACTTAAAAGGACATCAGGTCATCCACACTGGAGTTAAACCATTCAGCTGCGACCAGTGTGGAAAGTCTTTCACTTCCAAAAGTAACTTAACAGCACATCAGCTCATCCACACTGGATTTAAACCATTCAGCTGTGAACAGTGTGGGAAGGCTTTTACTCAGGATGGAAGCTTAAAAAAACATCAGCTTATCCACTCTGGTGTTAAACCATTTAGCTGTAATCAGTGTGGAAAGGCTTTTACTCACAAAAGGAACTTTAAAGAACATCAGTTTATCCATGCTGGGGTTAAACCGTTCAGCTGTGATCAGTGTGGAAAGTCTTTTACTCGCAAAAGTCACTTAAAAGGACATCAGCTCCTCCATGCTGGAGTTAAACCTTTTAGGTGTGATCAGTGTGGAAACTGTTTTACTCACAAAAGTCACTTAAAAGAACATCAGCTTATCCATGCTGGAGTAAAACCTTTTAGGTGTGATCAGTGTGGAAACTGTTTTACTCACAAAAGTCACTTGAAACAACATCAGCTCATCCATGCTGGAATTAAACCATTCAGCTGCAATCAGTGTGGAAAGGCTTTTAATCGCAATAGTCACTTAAAACAACATCTGCTCATCCATGCTGGAGTTAAAGCATTCACCTGTGATCAGTGTGGAAAGTCTTTTACTCATAGAAGTCACTTAAAAGATCATCAGCTAATCCATGCTGGAGTTAAATCATTTGTCTGTGGCCAGTGTGGAAAGTCTTTTACTCATATTAGTAATTTAAGAAAACATCAACTCATCCACACTGGAGTTAAATCTTTTGTCTGTGGCCAGTGTGGAAAATCTTTTACTCATATTAGTAATTTAAGAAAACATCAACTCATCCACACTGGAGTCAAATAATTGTTTTGTGATCACTGTGGAGGCTTTTACTTATATAGACACATTTAAAAAGCACCAGATCATTCACACTGGAATTAAAGCATTTGTGGTCAGTGTGGAAAGTCTAGTTTAATCATCTAAAAAAATAAAGATATCAACCATCTTAAAATTAAAACACTGAAACGTGAATGGGGTGGAAAGTTTTATATCCATAACACAAACTTGTTCAACTGACAAAGTGTCCCTCAATGTACCTGCACATGTGATGTGACAATAAAAGTGATTTGATTTGATTTGATTTGATCTGTAACAAAACTGGCAGACCGTCGTGACAGTACTCTGACAGAGTTCTTTTGGACAGAGTGAGAAACACAGCTGATCTGAACAAATCTTCTGTATGCCTGGTCAAACTTAAAAACTTGATCAGGCCTGACAGAATTCAGCTTTAATCTCCTGTTCAATGCTACTGCGAGAAAGTCCGTTATATCAGTTAAGACCTTCTACATGCTCTCTGGTGAAAGCGAGTGTGGATAAACTTTGACAGCATTGAGCAAGCTAAGTATTAGAAAGACTTAGGACTAGGTAAAATGAGCAAGTAAATGGAAAGAGATTCACAGATGTGATGTTTGCTTTGAGGGTTTGATGGAGACTGTCAGATCTTCACTATGTCTTTGTGGATCTGGTGGTGCAGGACATGAAAACAGACTGGTGAAATGTGTGGTAACAGATTGATTGAAGGTGGGGGTGGGATTACATCAATTCTGAGCCCCTTCTTGCTTCCAGTTGTGATGGACAGGCTGACATGCAAGATAAGTTAACAGTCTCTTTGGATTATCATGTTTGCAGATGACATTGTTATCAATAAAGCACCGCAGCAATTTCCTAATGTTGTAAACCTCAACATCTGGCAATAAACCCCATTCTGATTCTGATTCTGATAACCCACTGATCAAAGACCACTGATCAAGGTTTTGGTCAGTGGTTGTTGGTCAATGGTAGGGCTGCACGATTAACACTTGGAGTCCCCCGAGAGCAGCAGTGCCCAGCCTTCTACCTTTAAAACCCGCCTTCCAGCCAAATGGCTGGTAGGCTTTTAGCTAGGCTTTAGCTTCAGCCAAGTGGAAGCTAAATTGTCTAGTCATTCATATGTAAATTAGGTTGTTATCTGGGAATTCTGGAGGGGAGTGGGGGTGTGTGAATGAGGGG